TTTCTGTGGTATCAGCTGTAATTTCCCCCTATCAATTTCTGACTTTTATTGTTTAGAAATGAAAATAATTTTTCTTTCCTTTTTTTGGTCTTTTTTTTATCTTCTCAAAAAAACAGCTTTGTGTTTCATTGATCCCTTGTATCATTGGGGGGGGGTCTCTATATCATTTATTTCTGATCTGACCTTAATTATTTCTCTGCATCTACTAATTTTTGGATTGGATTGTTCTTGTTTGTTTTCTAGTTCTTTGAGGTGTAGCATGAGGATGTTCATTTGAAATGTTTCTATTTTTTGATGTAAACGTTTACTGAAATAAAGTTCTTTCTTGGTAGTACCCATTTTTCAGTATCCCACAGGTTTTGATATGATGTCTTTATTTTCATTAGTTTCAAGAATTCTTTTGACTTCCTGTTTAATTTCTTCTTGGACCCATAGATCATTCAGAATCCTATTGTTTAATTATAATGCAATTATATAGTGTCTTGAGTTTTCCTTGCTATTTCTGGTCTTAATCCATTGTGGTCTNTTTCTCCACCAGTAAGTTAAAAGCCTTATAAACATGTCCTAAGCTTCTGCCTCCTCTTTGAACTGTCATTCCTGTAATGGCTTTACTTTTTCATCCAGTCTACCCAGGCAGAGAGTGGAACTGCTTCACATTCAATGAACAAATCCAAACAGTTCCACCCCTGGGCTCTTCTCATCTGTGTCCCCTGGCTCATCACCACCATCTAAGCTCAGCTGAAGACTCAAAGCATCTTGTCTGTGTCACCACATCACCCTCCCTCCTGGTCCCCCTACTCCATGCCTTCTCTTCCTGCTGAAGTTTATTGTTCTCATAGCCCCAACTTTATCTGTTGCTGACCCTCCTATGATGGAAATTCTTCCACAGATCTCCATATTTCTCAAAATAAGACGCAAGTGTCTCTGCCTGACATTCAGTGCTGATGACCAGGACTGAGCTAAACTCTCCAGCCCCAGAAAACACAACTCCCCCCTAGAAAGCAAACTCATCAAAATTAACCACCACCCCTTCCCCAGACACACACGCATCCTGTCTAATTAATTCATTTGTACACAGGCAGCTCAATCAAATCTGAATTTAGAAAACACCTTTCCAAATGCCTAACTATCATAAAGGGAACTAAGTCTTCCTACTTCCTACTCCAAATCTTATGACCCACTCAACTATAAATGTATTGGGGTCAAAAGATTTATGTAAGGATTACACAGTAAATCCAAATGAACCACTTAGAATACTCTTGGCACATCATCTAGGGGTCAGATTAATGCTTGAATCTTATCACTGTTCATGATCAATACGATCATCCTCCAGTCCATTCCCTGCATAGTGGTAGTCTTAAAGAAGCAATCTAGGGCTTCCAGTCAAGATGGCAGAATAGATGGTCCCCAGTGTCACTCTCTCCCACAAATCAACCAATTTACAACTATATACAAAAGCAACAACAGCCAAGCTAGGGCTGCTAGAGCTCAAGGGAAGAGGAGGTGAGATCTATGGAGTTCAAGAAGGCAGGAGAAGCCATAATGAGAGAAGGAAAAAATCCACTCTGGTCATTTTGTGCCACAGCCACTTTAAGAGTGGAGCTGCTGAGTACACAGAGCAGGAGCTGGCAAAAGCCTTGGCTGTGCCCTTTGGATGGAGATGCTTGGAGGCAGCAGGGGAGAAGAGGGACTTGGTGGCCCCCAATCCAGCAAGACCACTAATAGTGTTCCTGTGGACCCACATAAGAATGAGGAGCCAGAACAGCTGAATAAAAGGAGCCACTCAGAGGCCGGTGAGTCATCACAAGGAACCAGCACACAGCTCATCCCACAGGAAGTGTTTGCAGCATGGGCAGTGGGGGAGACGGGCCCACCAGGGGAACACTGGGGCACAGCAAGGACAGTTGATCCACACCCCAGTCAGTAAAGGACCACTCAGAGGAGACTGATCAGGAATATAAAATTGCATGGGTGCAGTTTGATGAAAAGACTCAGGCCCAGACTAGAGTTTCTATACAACCCAGGTTACCAGGTCTCTGGAGGGCCAGAAGTACACATAAAGTCAACCATTATAAACTGAGCTGCACAAAAAGCCTTCCCTAGGGAAGCAGCAGCAAAGCAGCAATTTAACTAAACCACAGAGCTCAAGTACTAGTCCCAACAGGAAGTTTCCCCACTTCAGAAGTAAGCAAGGGACAAAAAATTAATTCTGGCTCAGACACACTGCCAGCACCTCAGGGCCTGCCCGGAGTCCTGAGACATAGGGCTGGGGACCGGACACCCCCACAACCAGGCACACCACCAGCACCAAGGAGCATGCCAAAAACATCACCTCCATGTGGGTGGCCCACCACAGCCACCAAAGTAACCATGGCTGCCATGAAAGTGGCTAGATATCACAACCACCACACAGATGGTCCACCAGCTACTGGAGTGCATTGATACAAGGAGAGTCACCAGCAGAGACCAAAGAAAAGAAGAGGATTTCTCTCTCCACAAAGACCATACTTGAATGACAGAAGAAGCACCTGCTCTATGATAATATTGGGGGACCTGAACACACCTCTCAGCATTGGACAGATCATCTAGGCAACAAATCAATAGAGTAACCATTACTCTTTTAGAAGGAGAAAAGATATCTAGGGTAATTAGATGGGGGAGGGGGAGGAAGGGGGGGAGAGATTGGACAAGGGGCATAAAGATTAATTACAATTTGTAACAATACATATGCTAGTAATATTGGTTTGATCAACATATCTCAATGTTTTACCCCCAAAATATGTATAATCAATTTTGATTCAATAAACATTTTTTTCAAAAAAAGAAGCAATCTGTTCATAAATTCCTTTGATTAAAATTTATCCATTGCCTTCCCAAGAAAACTTGCATGGTGCAAAAGGCCCTGAGTGACCAACTCTGCACATTCTGAGGGATTACTCTTAGTTCTTTGACCAGCTCACCCATTTCCAGGTAGAGGATGCCCTCCCCTCTCCAAACTCTTACTAACCACTACTGAGGCTCTGGTTTCTCCTCCAGAAGGTCCTCTCACTTGGATAACTCAGGTTGCTTGATGTTAACCTGTTACTGAATGTCACTGTTTCCTGTTTTTCTTCTTTCCTACAACTTGACAAAACTGTAGCTGAATTATCCATCTTTGAATATTTACAGTGTTTGTCTTCATTTTTCTGAGTTTCATGCATCTGGGAAATGAATCTTAAACAATTATATTAGTCTAAATTCTCCAGAGAAAGAGAACTTATAGAACACACACACATACATTCATTCACAAAGAGATTTTTATAAGGAATTAGTTAGTGAAGGGATAAAGGCTGAAAAATCCCAAGATCTGCAGTTGGCAAACAGGAGATTAATGTGAGTTGATGGTGTAAATTCCAGTTTGAGTCCAAGGCCAAGGCCTGGAGAAGTCCAATGTCCCAGCTCAACCAGTCAGACAGAGGTAAGTCAACCTTCCTCTACACCTTTTAGTTCTATTCAGTCCACCCATGGCTTGGATGAAGCCACCCACACTGACGAGGGCAATCTGATTTATTCAGTTCACTGATTCAAATCTCATATGGAAAATCCTTATGACACACCCAGACTAGTATTTAACCAACTATTTGAGCAGTCTAAGAATCAATCAAGTTGACATAAAATTAAGCATCACAACAATGAGTTTCCAGAGCTACCACCATGCCTGGCAAATGATACTTGGCTCAATGCACATTGGACTGTCTGGCTGATGGGAGGAAAAAAGAAGTACTGAATTTACAGAAGCTCAGAAAAACAAGTTATTTACACCAAGTCAAAAAGCCTGTATATGTTCAACAATCCTTGTCTCCATGGAATGAATCCCAGTTGATAATGCTGTATAATTTTTTTGATATATTGCTGTATTCTGATTACTAGTATTTGGTTGAGGATTTTTGTGTATACGTTCATCAAAGATATTGTCCTGTAATTTTCTTTTTTTTTTTTTTTTCCTTTTTTTGTCTTTTTTCGTGACCGGCAACGGGATCGCAACCCTCGGTGTTGCACCCGCACCTCACTCAGCCAGTGAGCGGCCGGTCTGTATGTGGGATCCGAACCCTCGGCGGGAGTGCCATCATGCTCTCAAGCGGTGCACTGTAGCAGTGCGCCACCGGGCCGGCCCTGTAATTTTCTTTTTTGTTCTATCTTTTTCAGGTTCTGATATCAAGGTGATTCTGGCCTCATGGAATGAATTCAGGAGAATAGCCTATGTTTTGATTTTTTGGAATAGATGGAAGAGAATTGGTGTTAATTTCTCTTTGAAGGTTTGGTGGAATTCAGCATTAAAGCCATCCAGTCCAGAGCGCTTTTTTTGTCAGGAGGCTGTGGATTACTGCTTCAATCTCATTGCTTGGTATTGGTCTGTTCAGGTTTTCTGTTTTCTTGGTTCAGTCTTGGTAGTTTGTATATATCCACAAATTTATCCATTTCATCCAGGTTTTCAAATTTGTTTGGCATATAGTTATTTATAATAGTCTCTAGTGATTCTTTGTATTTCTGTGGTATCAGTTGCAATTTCCCCTTATTCATTTTTGATTTTTATTGTTTAGAAATGTAAATAATTTTCTCTTTTTCTCTCCTTTTTTTTGGTCAATTTTTTTTTTTATCTTCTCAAAAAAAAAACAGCTTTGTGTTTCATTGATCTTTTGTATCATTTGGGGGGGTCTCTATATCATTTATTTCTGATCTGACCTTAATTATTTCTTTCCATCTACTAATTTGGGATATGGATTGTTCTTGTTTTTTTCTAGTTCTTTGAGGTGTAGCATGAGGATGTTCATTTGAAATGTTTCTATTTTTTAATATAAACGTTAACTGCAATAAAGTTCCTTCTTAGTACTACCCCTTTTTCAGAATCCCACAGGTTTTGATATGATGTGTCTTTATTTTCGTTAGTTTCAAGAATTTTTTTGACTTCCCTTTTAATTTCTTCCTGGACCCATAGATCATTCAGAACCCTATTGTTTAATTCTCTTGCAATTGTATAGTGTCCTGTGTTTTCCTTGCTATTTCTGGTTTTAATCCATTGTGGTCTGAAAAGATATTTGAGATGATTTCGATTTTTTTTTAATTTGTGGGACTTGATTTGTGACCTAACATGTGGTCTATCCTGGAGAATGTTCCGTGTGCTGATGAGAAGAATGTATATTCTTACAGCCAACTGATTTTTGACAAAGTCACCATGAATATACATTGAGGAAAAGACTGCCTCTTCAATAAATGATGCTGGGAAAATTAGACGTCCATATATAGAAGAATGAAACTAGACATGCACCTCTTATGAGATACCAAACCAATTCAAAATACATTGAAGGCTTAAGTGTAGGACCTGATACTATAAAGCTAAGAAAGGAACACATGGGGAAACACTTCAGGAAGTATGACTGGGCAAAGACTTTATGAATAAGACTCCAAAATCAAAGGCAACAAAAGAAAAAAATAAGCAAATGGGATTATATGAAACTAAAAAGCTTCTGCACAACATAAGAAGCAATTAACAGAGTGAAGAGACAACCTTCAGAATGGGATAAAATATTTGCAAACTATGCATCTGACAGAAGTTTA